AAATTAAGCAGCCACAGGTTCCCGTAAGAGGAGTTCTGCATAGAACCAGCCCAGGTGGTTTTTTCTCACCGCAGAACAGGTGCTGTTCTATTTATAAATACTCCTGTCCACCTTCCTGTGGAAAAAGACATGCCAAGAAAATATTAAAGTTAACTGAAACAGAGCTGCGGGGTGCACAACTCTACTCACGTTTTGGTGATTCATTTGGAGTCTGCTGGATCTGATGGTAGACAAGTCTCACTCATGAGCCTTTTTTCTGACATGTTCAGCTGCTCCACGTAGTCACCTCTGGGTCACAATTATCTGTGTGTGCTCTTGCACCAAAGATAAGTTTTGCCTCAGACTAAGACACCTTTTCCGAATCTGTGTGTGCCAGTTTTCAGTTATCACCTCCCCTGGATGCAGGCCTGTGTAAGAAAAAGCAAAAAGAATAACTCAGTGCGTTGGGTTTGTGTGACAAGGTTTTGGTAGTGGGGGGCTACAGGGGTGGCTTCTGTGAGAAGCTGCTGGAAGCCTCCCTATGCCTGACAGAGCCAATGCCAGCCGGCTCCAAGACCCGCCGCCGGCCACGGCCAAGCCCATCAGCAAGAGTCAACGCCTCTGGAATAACATGTTTAAGAAGGGTGGAAAAAAACCCAAAAACAGAAGAGGAGAGATTTCACAGAGAATGAACAAGATGTGAGAGAGAGCTCTGCAGAGCCCCAGGTCAGTGGAGAAGGAGGGGAGGAGGTGCTCCAGGCACCAGACCAGAGAATCCCTGGCAACCCGTGGTGCAGCCCATGGTGAGGCCGGCTGTGTCCTGCAGCCATGGAGGGTCATGGGGGAGCAGAGACCCACCTGCAGCCTGAGGAGAAGGTAGAGAAACTGAGAGAGACAGTGTGTGCCCCCAACCTCCATTCCCCATCTCCCTCTGCTGCTCGGGGGGAGGAGGTAGAGAAAAGTGGGAGCAAATTTGAGCCCGGGAAGAAGGGAGGGGTGGGTGGAAGGTGTTTTAAGATTTTGGTTTAGTTCTCTTTATTCTGATTCTGATGATAAATTAACTTGATTTTTTCCCCAAGCTGAGTCTGTTTTGCCTGTGACGTTAATTGCTGAATAATCCTTCCCTGTCCTTATCTCGACCCACGAGCCTTTCATCATGTTCCCTCTCCCCTGCCCAGCTGAGGAGGGCAGTGATAGAGCAGCTTTGGTGGGCACCGGGCCTTCAGCCAGGGCCAACCCACCACACCTGGTTTGGTGAGACATTCATTTCATTTGTTAGCCACATCTCAGCGGAAATTTTCGCTTTATGCTAGATGGCCGCTAAAATACAGCCAGCTCTGCCGATCAGGCTTGGTAATCTTGCTGCTCAATTGCACTGGTTTCTGTGTGAGTCCATCCAGAGAAGCCTGCAGCCAATTCTGGCGTGGTTAAAGTTCCAGATAATGTTTGCCAGTGCGACTTGCGGAAACCCAGGCCTTTAACGTGTCCCTGACCCTGATGTTTTCTGTTGCACTCACTGCATTCCCTCAGTGTAGCACCCTCATTTTTTTAAGGTCTGCCTTTTCAAAATGCAGAGCCTTAACAACAGATCAACTTCCACTGGGACTTTCATTGATTTAAATGGATTTAACACGTTGTCTCTCAATCCAAGGTTAATTTCCAAGAGCAGAAAAGAAATAGCACCTACAGACATTTGAACCTTCTTGGGGACTTGCTGGAAACATCATCCACTTCTGGTGAAGCTGGAGATGAACTGCATGTACTAACTCACACTGGAGTTATTAGGAATTTCTCAAGCCAAACCACAGTGGTTTGCTGCCAGCATCAGCAGAATCCCCACTACCCATCACCCGTGACCACTGCAGGTCTGTTTTAATCCACCGTTTTCCTTGCTTCTGGGTGAGAAACAAGGAGAAAGCTGTAGGACAGACTGCTAGTGGATGGTGTGTTATCTGGAGATGCCCTGTGCCCTGGTAAAGGTGTCCTCCTCTCCGCTCCTCACCCACGTTGCAAGGACACACAAAGGCACAACTATTTTGCCTCACTTCATCCCGGCACCTGCCCACCTTCTTACCTGGGGAATCCAAGTTCAGCATGTCCAGGGCCAACTGGAGGCACAGGACAAGTGAAAGGAGACTGAGACTGCAGGACTACTTCCCATCTCTACTCCTCTACTCTCCCCCTCTACTCCGCTCTTGTGAGACCCCACCTGGAGTTCTGTGTCCAGCTGTGGAACCCACAACATCAGAAGGATATAGACTGGTGGGAGTGAGTCCAGAGGAGGCCACGAAGATGCTCCGAGGGCTGGAGCCCCTCTGCTATGGGGACAGGCTGCACGGGATGGGCTTGTTCAGCCTGGAGAAGAGAAGGCTCCGGGGAGTCCTTATAGCACCTTCCAGTGCCTGAAGGGCCTACAAGGAAGCTGGGGGGGACTTGTTACAAGGGCCTGTAGTGACAGGACAAGGGGTACCGGGTTTAAATTGAAAGTGGGGGGGTTTAGGTTGGATTATCAGGAAAAAGTTCTTAACGGAAAGGGTGCTGAGTCACTGGCGCAGGTTGCCCAGAGAAGCTGTGGATGCCCCATCCCTGGAAGTGTTCAAGGCCAGGCTGGATGAGGCTTTGAGCAACCTGGTCTAGGGGAGGGGGTCCCCCCCCATGGCAGGGGGGTTGGCACTAGATGGGCTTTAAGGTGCCTTCCAACCCTAACCACTCTGTGATTCTATGATTCTATGGTTTCTTTTCAAATTCTCAATTATTCCTCCGCTAGCCTCTGCCTTGCAGTGAAGTTGGGAGTCTAGCTCCCCACTCAGCCCAGAATTGCAGCCTGGAGTGATGGCTTGCCAGCCCCTTGCCAAACTGCCACAGTTTAACACCTGCTTCCCCAGATAATTTTCAGGTAATTCACAGTATCACACAGTAAAAAGGGAACAGTCCATAAAAGTAACTGCATAAAACAAACCTTCCTCTAAAGAGCTTGCAATTTAGATAGAAATCCTCAGACATGCAGGTGGGCTTGAACGGGACCAAAACTAGCGCTCATGCCACCACATACAGACCACAGGGACTGTTTGCAGACATGTAGATTTAGCAACTGAAATTGAGATACGCTGAGCACTGGCAGGCAGGGAAAACTACCCTCATCAATAGAATCACACAGAACATAACTCTGCTTGGTCTCTCCCTTCGGGTTTGAAAATTCTCGTGGATGCCTCTGCTTGGATTTTACCAGTGCCATACTTTTATCAGTGCAGTTTGGCAAAACAGGCCAGAACCAGCCTCTTTTGCATGTGCTTTCTTCTGCTGCCTGTGTCCCCTTTCTTACATATTTCAAGTCTCATTTTGTTACAAAACAGGTGGCTGAAACAAACAGTGCTTTAGATAGACACCCCTAACCCCCTGTGGTTAGCCAGGTTTATTTTTAAACTCCTGCAAAAGATGGGGCACAGGGAACCTCTCACTGCTGCCGTGGAAGAGACATCCACATAAAACTCCTTGGCGATGCTCTCTGGGGAGGGGGAAAAGAAACAAAGCCAAAAAAAGATAGACCCCTAGTGAGAAAACAAGTTTTTTAAAGAACACTTATGGCATAACCTGATGCTCTGGTACAAGCTGGACTTGCACCCATCATCCCTCACCACCTCCCAGGGAAGCAGTGGTGTCAGTGCTGCTGATGCAACACAAAAGCTCATTGCATCATGCAGCTGCTGGATGAGAGGTTTGTGCTGGGAGAAAAGGCTCAGGACACAGACTCGGGGGTCTTTGAAGAGCTCCAGGGTCTGGGATGCAGCCAGTGGGGTCTGAAGAAAGGGCAGATGGCCTGGAAGGTGACAGGCTGCCCTCAGGAACTGCAGTGCCTGGCAGTACTGACTTCAGCCCCTTGAGAGCCCGGCAAGAGCAACCGACCCGGACTGAGCCAAGGGTGGCATGGGAGAAGCCTGCCGCTGGTCACAGGGCTGCTGCTCTGCTGCGTAGGGAAAAGCTGGAGGACACAGGGAGCCTTACCCTGTGCTGCTAACGTTAACCGGGAAAAACATACATCGGAGGTAGAAAAAATTCAGGCAACATGGACACAATAACCCTGGCTGAGGATGGGCCTGCCAGCACCCTGCTCGGCTCTGCCTCCCCGTTTGTCCCCAGGCGTAGGTGTTTGGAGGCCGTTGCTGAGACGGGGCTTCCCTTAAAAAGGGGCCTTTTCTGCACCAGACACGCACATACGCTACAGAGACAGCTCTGGTCATGGCAGGTTACGGTGCAACGTTTGTTTATCAGTTACACAAGCGATCCCAAACCTGGGACAAAAAACATCCCAGGTCCTCTCCAGTACTCCCCTCCTTCAGGAAACATCTGCTTGCCCAGTACCTCAGTTTGTCTGGGACCTGACTCAGAACCTTTCATAAACCACAAGTCCCATGGCGTCCCTTTTCCATTCTTAAAGAAACTCCTGGATGCAGCGTGCAGAGCTGGAAGCTTTGCCGCAGACCTGCTGTTGCTTTACCTCTTTCACCCCTCCCCTCTCTCTTCTTGTCTGCTTTGACTGCAAGCTCTCGGGGGGCAGGTCGAGCCCTTAATACGGGTTTGCACAAAATGTGGTGCAAACAGGACTCTGATCTTGAAGCCTGTGTGAGTCAAGCGATCTTTAGGCCGGTTTCTCAAAACTAGGAGACAGAGCTGTAGCCCCTTGGCTACCTGGACACTTTCTTAGCTCCCGCTCCTCATGCCCAGGTGGGAGAGCGCCACTGGCCCCGAGGGCAAGATGCCCCTAAGGTCCAGGGTGGTTTTGCACTCCCTTGCACCCAACAGCTTCACTGTGTGCTGGCGATGACCAGAACAGAAATGCACAGTAATAGCGCAACCCCCTGCTCCCCTCACCTTCGAAAGCCAAAGGGCTTTGTGCATTAACCATGCCTGGTTTCAGTCCCCAGCCACATTTTCCACACTGTCGGTGCTAGCCGACTGGGCTGTTTATTTTAGGAAACAAATAGCTGTATCATTTGCACACGCCCTTATAGGCAGAGACAGGCTCTCCACTCGTGTTCTTCAAAAGAAGGGAAGGCAAGATGAAGAGCTCTTTGTTGCTGTGCATGGCCTTGGCCGTCTCCCTGGGGTTTGTCCTCGTGGCAGGTAGGTGAGAAATGCAGAGCGTGGGAAATTATGCTGAAGATATCCGTGAGAGGTTTTGTGTAATTGGCCGTTAATAACTTTAACAGTCAAAAATCAAACCTCAAAGCCTGCTCAACCAGTCACGCTTCAGTGGTGCTGGGACAGAGCTATGGGTTTTAGTTGCTGCCTTGAGGCTAAAAAAGTGATGACTAGTTGCAAATGTAAGCCTTTGATTAGCTGTTTTTGATTGGGTTTCTGAACAACAAACATGCATGTTTGAATCGTCCTGGTAATCCCGCCATGGCTACGGCCAACCTATTTCTGATTAAACTGGAGTTTATCATGTAACTCCACTGAATTTCTGGAGACTCTTGGTTTAGGCTGAGATCAGACTGTCACCCCAGCAGATCCCCGGTGTGGCTCACGGGTAACATGTAGTGACTGCACTAATGCCAGCTCCCTGTATGACAGTCTGAAGTCATCCCCATTCCCATGGTGGATCTGGTCCGCAGGATTAAATTGGTGCTCAAGGATAACTATCCCAACAGCACAGACAACAGCATTTCCTCCAATCTATGGGAAAGGGCATCCTAGTGCCTCTCTAGGCAGGTCCTTGGAAAGTACTGCTTCCTATGAAAAGTGACCGGCTGTATCATCTGTGTGGCTGAAAAAGTGGAAAATGTATCGGTTCAACACAGAGCCCAGCCTGGTTTTTCCATTCAGATCCATGGCTTGAGGCCATACATAGGCAGCTTCGAGGGGAAGGTAAATGAGAGTTACCTACACCTACAGGAACGCTGTTTGAAATGAATCTATTTTGGGGCTAATTGAACCTCCTCCTACTTTATTAAAGTAGCCACTTGGACCTGCAGAGAGGTTGAACATATACTTTTGGAATGCATTTACCTCTTCGCTATTCTGCAGCTGGATTCTGTGGGGCTTCACAGTGTGTTACAGGACAACCCAGCACTGGAAAATGAGAAATTTTGTCCAAAATATCTGTGTGGGTGTTGAGGAGAGAGGGAATTTTGCAGTGAATTGCAGTAAATCACGCCCCCGAGAAAAATCCAGCCTGCAGACATTTAGAAGGGCATTAGGAAATTTTGTATTTAACTACCTTCTCCCCAAAGGGACTTTACCGGGTGATACGTGGAAGTATTGCTGATAAAACTATCTTTTTATGGGCTTTGTAATTTTACGTGAAAAAAATATACGGCGTACCTGCAACCTTTATGGTTTCTGAGGCCAAGAGTATTGCACAAGGAATTAAATCAGGATGGTATTTTTACAGTACAGTCAAAAAGTCCTCATGTTCTTAAAAGAGTGTGTTAATATATTTTTAGAAGATGAATTAAAGCCTTCTCCAAAGGGTTTGGGACAAGTCCCAAAGCCAATAGGATCTGACTTGAATATTGGCTTTGGGTTAAGAGCTTAGAAAGAATTGCACTAGAAAGGATTGCACGCAACATGAGATGGAAAACAGTGACAGAAGCTAGAGGAAGGTATGTGTGAAGGACAAGAAGCTGGAGGCTTTCTGCAAGACAATAGAAAGGCCAAGACTCAAGGAGGCAAAGACTGAGGAGTTTTTTGTAGTAAGCTTCTGCTTCAGAGGGAAACGTTCACGTTGAGTGATGAGTTGGCAGAGGGGAAGGATACAGAGCAAAGAGACTGGAATAAGGGGTACAAAGAGACAAGCACCATTAAACTCCAAATAATTACCATCTCCGTGTGTCTGACACGATTATGTATTTCTGCCTCGGTGGGGCACAACGCAGTCAGAAGTATGGCTGGACTGAGACTCCACGGCCAGTTGTGCTGGATGCTCTGCAGAATTCTGGAATGCTATTTGCATTACAGTGTATGGACTAGTACCTGGGGGCTCTGCCAATCAGTCCTGCAGAGGGCCTGTCCTTGTTCAGGCTTGAAACATGAGCTTAATGCAATGTGTGTGTCTGCTTCCTTACTGATCCATGCTTTGATAACTCAGAGTCCAGCTGTTAGGACCAAAGCTTTTAAGTCAAAGTGACTCTGAAATCCTCCATATCGTGACAAACACAGATGTTTTCGGCCTGTTTCTTCTTTCTCTCCATGGTTAAACCAAGGGACAAGCAGAGTAGGCAAGTCCTCAGAACTGACCTCCATCTCAGCCCAATATAAACTATCCCCATCTTACAAAAATCACTGGGTTTGGTACTTCTAAGCAGGCTGAAGGTGCTGTAGGAAGAGTGATGCTGCAAAGCAATGGATGTGAACTTGATTTTAACAGCCTTTAGAAACAGAGAGGGGTGTAAAAACAACCACTTAAGAAGGGTATGACTGTATGTGCATATAAAAGCAAGGCTGGCTTGTTATGGGTGAAGAGACCAGGGGCTCTGGGCTGGGGAAAACCAACTAGCAAAGAACAAGCTACTGTAAATCCATCTACTTGCACAGTAAGAAGGCATTGCATGCCACCATGAACGTTCAAAAAGCCCCAGGGTGACAGATGAGATGTTTTACCCTGTTTTGACTGAGTTTCATATTGAATAGCAAGTTCAGGAGGCATACCCAAGCTGGCTCTTCTCTATTTGAGTAAGAAAATGAGTACTGCAGTTTACCCTGCAAGCCACAAGCATCACAAGGGCCATTTGCCTTTCACTGTCAGGTCAGCAGGCTGCCTTCTTCCTGGGTCCTGTAGTGCTTTTTGGCATCTCTTCCCTCAGGGACCTGAAGGACAATATACTGCTCCAGGGCAACGGATACTTCTGCCACATTGGAAAGGTCAGACACGGTTATTTAGAGGCCAGGTACAAACTACCCCTTATGGTAAAAACAGCACTTTAATTGATAGGTACAGCTCGAGGCTTGCAAGGGGACTTTCTTCCCATTTCACGAGAAACCCCTGCATGTTTGCCTCTCACCAGCCACACAGCGTCTGGGTTCATCGTTTTCGCCTTCCCGGTCCCATCACCTCCACATACAGAAGCATGGTGTCAACAGCTGAACTCCTCTTGGCCAACAGGCTCATTCGCCCTCTTGCAACTTGGACTTTAATCAATCCAGATGCCTTAATGGCGCGCTTCTGACATTCACATCGCTTGGCTTTCTGCTAGGGCAGGTTTCAAGGTTTTCCTTCTTTACCCTGGGATTGTGTATCCTGTGCTTGCAGGTTTTCCAAGGGACCCTGAGGATAAGGAGCACGTGCTGGTCAATAACAAGTGTCAGTGTGTAACAGTGACAGCGAAGTTTGTCCGCTCCAAGGAAAACCCCGAAGAAGAAATCCTGGAGAGAAACATCCGCATCCTGTAAGTGGCAAACATTGAACAGGAGATGTCACAGGAGTTCCCTTTTCTTTGCACGGTTTCCTATGTCCTGGCATTGATGAACTGAACTGCTTTTCCCGTGGGCTGCTTTCTGTGGTATCCTGAAATATTCCCATTTTGTAGGACGGGAAAACCAGTTAATGCCTAAACTATCAGAAAAGGTTAGTCCTGTGAGGTAGACCTCAGTTCAAGAGTAGGATTTTCTCCTTTTTCTTCGCACAAACCTTACAGAAGCATGTAAGGAAACATGGACCAACTTCAGACTCAGAGCTGCAGGAGTTCTGGAAGAGCTCACAACAGGAGAAACACTAATTAAACATCTCTGCCTATGTCCTGCAAGTCTCTCAGGCATCTGCCAGCTCAGAGTTTAAAAGAAAAGCATTATCAGCACTGTCACCTCAGAAGTGGCACATTCAGAAATTGCTGCTGTCCTCTCAGGGAGGGTTGGTGCCTTTAAGGGCACCGAAGGGCCAAGATCTGCCATTCCTGGGCTTGGCTATGGAGAGGGGTCGAAACAGAAGTAACTGAAGAATGAGTTGAGGATTTTTCACAGCAGAGTAATCCCCTGTTGAATAAGCAGTTTTCGTGAGAGTTATTCTCTTCCCTCCTTTGCAGAGTGCCCCTGAAGGCTCGAGAGAACATCTCTGACCCCACCTCCCCACTCAGAACCACTTTTGTCTACCGCATGACCGAACTGTAAGTAACTTCATTTACTAAGTGAATTTCCTAAGACTCAACCTCCCCTGCAGCATTGCCCATTGCAGCTCAAAAACATGCTTGAAGGCCAGTACAGGGAGTGAGGCAGAGTCACAGAGGAAGGTTTTCCCCATGGAGCCTAGCTTTCATGTTCTGTTGCAAACCAAGAAATTACCTCCATGATCCATTCACACAAAAAGGTCTCACGTTTCCAGGCAATGTTTCATTCTGACCCCTGTTCATCTCGACTGTCTTAAATATCAGCAAATTACACATTGCCTGTTTAACCCTCCCTTTTAGTGACCAGTCTTGCCAATAGCAATATGACAACGCTAAAAGCATCTGCCTGGGACTTCCTATGTAAAACCTAGAAAGGCCAGAGTGCTGTCCTAGCCACACCTGCACATCAGCAAGGAAGGTTTAGGTTTCACCAGGGGCATCTTTTCATCACAACACTTAACACTTCTTCTATTCTCCATCTCTTCTAGCTGCCAAAGATGCGATCCTGTGGAAATTGAGCTGGGTGGTGAGATATACCAGGCCCAGCAGAGCAATTCCTGCAATGAACCCGAAACCTGCTACACCTACAACAGGGACAAGTGCTACACCACAACCTTCCCATTCCTCTACCGTGGGGAGATGAAGAACGTTCAAGCAGTTCTGACGCCAGCATCCTGCTACGCAGATTAGCTCAATCCACTGCTCCACTAAAGCCTTGTCACACGCAGTGTTCCTATCAAAAATGCATGTATAGCACCATAGTACCTGGATGACAGTGTCCAAAATACCAGCTCCCAGAGTAATGCCAACTTGCCTCTCCATATTGTTTTCAACATCATTTAGTGCCATCTCCCAAGGGCAGCTACTGGTCTTTTTGACAGTCTTCCATCAGTCTTCATCCGACATTTTTTTTTTTTGTACTTCCCTCCCAGAGCAGCCAAAAGCAAGCCTCTGCTCAGCCTTTATACAAGACCCTTCAACCGCATTAGCAGCATTTGTGCCATTATTAGAAGGCTGTTATGCAATCCTATTTGAGAGAAACAGTGAGGGATGAGACCAAGAACTCAGATTTCAGAGTTACTTTACAGCTGGGCATTCTAGACCCTTCTAGACCTTTGACAGCTGCAAGCTTCTAGTTTTCATGCACATTTAGAGAAGATCAAAAGATGATGCTTCCCCGAAGTGTTTGCAAAGTTGTCAGTCTGTGCCAGGAATAGATAACTCTTCTGGGACACTCCTCTGGTGTTTCACTTCCCATCTTATTTACTGTTATCTCTGCCTTCTTCCAGCCCTGCTCCCAGTTCCATTGATTAAAAAAAGCCCAAGTTGGCTCGAATTTCTTTCCTTGTTCCTCATTTTGCATTTAGAGCTTCAAGAAATTCTATGAAGGTGACTCAGTCACTGGAGCAGGGCCTTAGCTAGGGACTCATTCCTTCTTTCACACCGGTAGTCTTTTTTCTACATAGAAGAAACCCTCACCAAGTAAAGGAGCTGATTCTGTACTGCACCTCGCATTCACATGCATTAAGCTCGGTGTTGCCCATAGAGACATCATGTATGTGAGTGCATAAGGTGTCCAGCATTACATTTGGGATGGCTGTATGTTTCTCACTGTTGTCACAAGTTGATTGTTAAGCCCTAGGCTGTTCTGAAAAGTCCTTATCTGGCTTCACATGTAACTGGAATAATAAACCAGCAAAAACCTTATTCCTGTAATCGTAGTTTGTTAGTGAAACATTAAATAAACTTTTTTCTGCAGCAGTCTGTGTTCTATTCCAGTTCAAAAAGAACTCATAAGAAAAAGCCAAGTCTATAATGACACTCCTTGCTCCTTCACAGTGAATTAAGAAGCTCTCCCTAAATAACTGCTTACACTTACAGGCAAAGCCTCCTGAAATACTGGGATAGAAATGTTACGATGCACTTGCAGAAACTATGACAGATTGAGGCTGAAATGGGGTACGATTTTAGGATCAGCTCCACAGCACTGAGTTGCTTCAAGGCCAGTGAAAGACAGCCAGTGAAAGACAGCCAGTGAAAGACAGGAGTTTAAAAATCCAAACGTCACCTAAATTACTCTTGAAATTGCAACCTGCAGATTGGAATTTTACCTCGCCACTGACAAAAGTGCCTTTAAGACAATTATGTCGGGGTCTAGTCATTCATATGCCAGGTGTCTGTCCTAAAGAAAAACCATCTTGGGGGAGGGGAATATTGAAGAGCAAAAGATTAAAAAGGGCAGACGGGTTATTCTTATGTTACATCAGAGTTATGGAAAACAAACTCACAAAAATACCTGTTATCCCCCTCCTTTGTGAAAAACCATATCCCAACGAGATACAAAATGCCAAGGGAGACAAAGAGACTCATGGCATGTACTGACATGGCTGTAAGTATTTCAGTGGTTAGGTACTAAGCTCCCTGAAATTTGTCTCAGATGCTTTCGTCTTCCAAGTCCTGGTGTTCACCAGCCTCGGAGTGCTGTGATGCTGGAAGTCAGTAGTCATGGTGGGGCTGCATTTCGTCTCCCAACACAGTTCTTCAGGTTACAGCTACAGCAACTTGTCAGTCCCTGGGGCTATGCCTCTGCTCTGGAACCAAGTGCCTGAACATTAATTGTCCACATTCGTTCCTACATCCTAGACAACTAAGATTCACATTTACTCACAACAGGACTGGAAATCACCTTGCAGCACATCTTGGTAGTCCAGCAATGCCAGCACAACAGACATTGGAACTAGATGATCTTTAAGGTCCCTTCCAACCCAAACCATTCTGTGATACAATGATTCTATTCATGAGACGCGTTCAGGGAAAAGGAAATCAAAGCACAGACTGTTTTCCCAGCAGCTGTGAAGAAGTAATTGCTTAGGTGATGTGGTGCAGAGCAGTCACTGGGAAACAAGAACAAAGCGTTCAGCAAACTCCCCCTGCGCTATTCCGCTTTATAGTAAAGCAGGATTCATCCCCCCCTTCTTTTCTGAGAAAGAAGCCTAAACTGACAGCCCTGACCACCTCTTGGCAGTGGATTGTGTTAGCCAGGTTTTACACGGTAACTCAAAGCAAGGCAACACGTTACATCAGGCTCTGAATCCTGATGTAACTGAAGTAGCTTATTGGAACTCGAAGTATTTTATATCAATAACATCATTTCTATTACAAGTGTGGTAAGTTTACCAGGATGAAGAAGCCTTGTCTTGAGTACCATAGCACTGCTCAGGAGTAGGAGTAGTAATGCTGGTGTCTGGCATCGTTTTACTCATATTCTTGGCATGTACATGACACATTTTCAGTTTTACTTAGCCTACGATCAGTGAAGTGGAGTAAGCATATCCCTAAAACGCCTTTAAATCCAGTTTCTTTAGAGAGCTAGCAACACTTTCTGCTTTCACAGAAACCCCATGCCAGTCTTGTTAGGCCACGGCTTCCAGAGAAGAGGTGGTGACTCTTCCCGAGAGCAGGGTGAATCTCTTCTCCCTGACAGCCCACGGCCCAAGTGTGGCTCATCTCGCTGGGCACAAAGCACTGCCTGATCTACTAAGGCACTACTGCTCCCACGGCTGAGTGTGACCCCGTCTTGGGGCTTCAAACCACAGGTGGATTGTCAGCAGTGAGCATGGACCATGTGTGTCCATGCTTGGTACTTAAACATCCTTTGGTTCTTCATCTTCAGCGTATTTCAACGCCAAACGAAAGCAAATACTCAACCCTATAGGAGAAGGGCTGACTAAACAGATCTCGTCTCTTTTTGTTTCACTTTCTCTGGCAGTGACTTTTTGGGGATTTACTTGGAATATTGCCTTCCAGCTAATTTATTCCCCAAGTCCCTCTGCACAGCACTACTCGCCACCTGAGTAGGCAGTGTAAATTGGTCCCTTCCTAAGCAGTATGGAAAGTGAAACTTAAGCCTGGAGTGGGGTTTTTTTGGGTTGTTTTTGTTGGTTTTGTGTGGGGTTTTTTTTTTCATTACAAGAGAGCAGCTTCATTGAAAATGGAATCCATGAGGTCAGGTGTCTATTAGGATTTCTCTTCAGACTGTGAAGCCCCTACTCAGTTTGTCTGGAGGACATCACTGTTACAACTAAGTACGAAGTAGGGAAAAAGGCTGAGTATAAACACATGCTGGGAAACATCCCCAAAGTTTTTTTTTTTTCTCCTCACTCTGGGAGGTGTCCAAGAATACTCCAGAAAACCTTTTATTCTGACCATCACAAATAAAATATTCTTGTTTTCCGCTCCATGCTTGTTACTTCTGCTGTAATTCAAAGTAAGAGAAGAGCATTTAATGTATTTGTAGCACTGAGCACGGTTGATTTGTATTTACTTTTGTTGCTTTATAGAGCTATAAAGCCTGGTTGAAGAATTAACCCTTCTCTCCTGGGTCTAAAGCTGTGGTTTCATGTCACAATTCCCAGGGCAATAAATCAGGTTAATGAGGTGCTTATCTCCTCACTCCTATTTATTGGCTGTTACCAGTTCCTCACTCCACCTCCTCCCCCATATGTAGCTTGATTGCTTGGCTATTCTGTGAGTGTAAATAAGAGCAATTGTTGCTGTAAGAAGACACAGGAATGCAGAGCTGGTAGTAGAGTGAGTTTGGGTTTGGGTTTTTTTTTTTTTTTTTAATGAACTAGTTTAATGGAGAAGCTACAAAGTGTAACTTTTGTTTAGAAGTATTGTATTTGTTATTTCCTGCACACATCTAGGCACCTGGTGAAAAGGCAGGGCTCCAGCCTCATCAGTCATGAATATGGAGCAAGGTCTGCTTTTGAACTACCTGTGTTTTCTGGAACAAGGTCTGTGGGATGTTTTGGTTTTTTATTTCTAGGGAACTTCTGTTTTTAGACAGGAGAACTCTTCTGCATACAGAAGTTCTAAGTTTGTCCAACTGGAGTTCTAACAAAAAATTAGCCTGTTTCTCAACAGCCCTATCTGTGACCATATTGAGATGTGAGTACAGAACTTCAGCTGCATAAATTGCATAAGAAGTGTTGAACATTCTATTTGGTTTAAAAATAAGCCACATACCCCCCCAAAAAAACCAACCCCAAACCCAACCAAACAAGCAACAACCATAAAACCCAGAGGCTGAGCTTTGAAATCTGCTGGGTTTTAGCTGTGTTAGAATCAATAAAGCGTTAAAAGGACTTCATGTTTTGTCACTAAATAGTTATGTAGTCAGGCAACTTGTTACGGAGGTGAATCCCCAAGGCTCTGTATCAAGTTGCTGATGTGCTGAAGGTGACCTGTCAATACCTAGCATAGGACTTACTTCCTTTGGCTTGATTGTTTCAATGCAACGATGAACAGCATAGAAACGATGCTTTTGAACACAAATTCCAGGCAGGTAAAAGCCCTTCTGAAGGTTTCCTTCATAAGAAAGCTTAAAAAGCCTTATTTTCTTATCAGTTTTGAGCTGACTTGAGGTGTTCCCTTTGCCACCGGTGCCAGTAAGAAGGACGGGGTGCCAGTGGGAAGCTGCTCTTCTGGCTACTTTCCCCTCGTGCTAGCAGTAGCCGCCCGCC